ACACTTATCAAATATACCAGGTTCATGTTTGAGTGACATTATTGCTATCATGGAGATGTAATTTTGGAAATATTGTGAGGACTTGCCCATGTTATATCCAATAGTTGTGGTTATGGATCCTTGTTTTAACTTACGGATGTAAAGGTATTATCGAAAAAATCTCTTATCATTTAACATTTGATATCCTTATTACATATTTTTATGTAAAAACTACTTTGTGCAATTTATATTTTTGATATGCTATAAATTTGATAGAAATAATGATACACCACCACCACCGCCTTCTATAGCTTCGACATTTTCTGATGACAATATATGGACCTATTTAAGTACGATTACTGCAGGATTCACCATCTTATTTTTCTTCTTGTACTAATACCAACAAAATGAAATTCCCATTAAGTTAGTTAGATACTTTCATAATATATTCTTATTTTATTAAATCGAAAAGAAATAAATAATTTTGATCTTATAGAATGGTATTGAACAAATGAATATAAAACATGTTATTACCTTTTGATGACATGTAATCAACTAACTCTTCTAGTGTCAACTATAGAATTGTAGCTCACTTTCAGTACATGTGGTAGGGTCATATTAAAAAAAAAAACCAAGTTGGAAGTAGATATATTTAAGATTCTAATGTGCTTTAAGGATTGACAAGATGCGGAGACAAGACAAAAATGGTTAATGTAATTGCTAAATATTTTTATCAATTATAATCTTCATGATTTTTTTGGTACACTAAAGTTTAGATTTATTATTATACATTGACATTTTATTTTTTTAAAAGAAAAATTTGTTCACAACATATTTATTTATATACAATTTTAACTCCATTTATATATTGTAGTAGATTACAAGCTCTTTGATAAACGAGGGAGTTTTTACAATTTTATAATTCTTTTGACAAAATAGATTTTTTATATGTTCACCATTTTCTTAAAAAATCACTTCTTTATTATACTTTGAAGGAGTGAAATGAAAGACACAAGTGGCCAGAGAGCCCAATTAAAGAACAAGTTGATGGGATGAGTTAAGCCACATTCTGTGAAGCAAGCCAGCTCATGCTCGACTAGTTCCATTTACAAGCACAAGCTAGCTTGTTATGTGAGCCAAGATGAGCCAAAAGGTGGGTGAGTTGAGTGGCTTGGCTCCATCCATTTAATACCCCTAGGCATGTATATCTTTGAATGATTTTGCTACTTGTACATCAAAATTGCACATAAAGAGTTACATAATATGATGTGTAGGAAAAAAATTGGATGAAAAAGTTGATTATATTTTAAACTGATAAATAGTAGAGTGTTGTTATATGACATTATGTAACTCATTATGTAACCTTTGATATACATGTACCAAGATCCACCTTTGAATACTTTTGTTTATTTGTCTTCTGTATTGGATTAGGACAAAAAAAGATGTACTATTTCACCGAAAAGCTGGTTCTATTTGAATACGTTTTCTGCAAAAAAAAAAAGTTTAATGATAAACAGTGATTTCAATTTTAGACTTTGAAATGGGTAAATGACTATTAACCTCTATTTGAGTCTTTTTAAAGAACTAGTTTTCGCTCGTGCTATGCACGGGTTTTGTTTTTCTTGAAGATATGTTAGTGTTGCATGATTTAGACGATATCTTAAGATTTTAAGGAAGACTTTAACCACCATGTCGACCCTTATAGTCCCTACCATCGGCATCTCCTGGTTCCTTCATCTATTCAATTACTATGCTAATTCTTATAACCATGAAGTTTTAGCAAAGAAATCCAGCTCGACATTAACACACCTATAGAAATTACATACAGATATACACCCACCCCCAAACATTGTATTGGCCCCCTAATTTTATTTCTCGTCCAATGTAAAACTGGTATTCACATTTTTCCAATGTAAAATTTGGCCATGCATCAATCAGAAATCCAATAATTGAAATTACTCTACTCTTCCAACAATTTTTTTCATTTTCATGTATAGAGATGTTATTGTTATCTAGATCTAAAGTATTGAATTTCATCAAAGACCATAGTTTTAATGTCTAGACAACCACCCGTTGAATTTGCATCTCCCATCCTTTGAACCCTCTTTCTGATATATAAATTGGAAATTCCAATTTACCGAATTAAACAAAACCAAAAGTTAACTATGAAATGATTTGTTGAATACTTGAACTCCTATGCCCTATGCCAATTACAACTTACTGTATTACCAAATTAAACAAAACCAAAAGTTAACTATGAAATTATCTGTTGAATGCTTGAACTCCTATGCCAATTACAACTTACTGTAAACCAACAAAATCAACAATGTGCCCTTCAACTTTTTTAAGCAAACCACCACGTTCTTTTTAATTTTTAACTTTAATATGAATCCAGTAAAACTGCACAAGATGAGTTGAAAAATAGACCAATCTTAAAGAGCAAAAAATACAAATTTCACTTTATTCCAACTCACACATTGCATTCAACTTGAAATTTGCACATGGAATCCATCATACAGTCATTAGGCTCTAAACTTCCTGTTTATAAAATTAAAATATCTATATAAAAAAATTATCAATTCCAAAGGAGGAAATAAAAAACGAAAAAAGTTCTATTTTTCTAGACTAAAATAGCCTCATAAGTCATAAATAATCCATTGTGTAGTGTAGCTAAAACCAAGAAATTTTGAACAAATTAAAAAAGGAAAATTGAACAAGAAGGATAATCCAACAAATAATTATAAGCGAAAACTGGAAAATATTTTCCTTCATGTAATCGAGAAACAAATGGTGGAAAAAAAATACACCAAACCCAGTTTGCTCAATCCATGCTACTTTTCAATATTATGAATCAAGAAAATTGGGTATCGATAATTTTAATTCAGAGAGTAGGCAAGAATTATTACCTTAAATAAAGAAAATGAAGCGAAAAGTTAACAAATCAAGCCATTACTTTCTTATTTATATTTGTCTCATTCGTTTTGAATCTTACATTAACGTTTTACGTGTTGCAAATTTTACTGAAGATATGCTCATCAATAATTATTTTAACATTACTCCCAAGATTCTAATGTGTTCTGACTGTTTCAGCACTGTCGTGCTTGGATGGATTAAAAAGAGGGAATAGTCCTATAAATTGCCATGGAACTCCTGCACTCTATTTTTTTCCTGTAGGAACTTTCTACTGAATAATAAGGTTATCAGATAATGAAAAATAATTTAACGACACACTTGGTGTTAATAATATGATGTAGAATTTAAAACTACAAGAGTGAACATATTACCCGGTATGCCACTGCAAGTGGTCTTAATCGACGTCCAGCAAACTTATCGATGACGGAATGAATCTTTCATTGTATATCTGATTTGTCATATGTAAGCCCCAAGATCTACAAATAAAATCATAAGAACATTCAAGGAAAGTAATAATTAATGTAGTCATTCATTAGAAGAGACTCAACTAATAGACCTGTTTAGGGTACCTTTGCTAGTTTGAACCAGTGCTATGGCTTAGTCAATCTTCATGTATTCTCTTGTGAGTTTGGAAAACATGGATTGACAAGAGTATAAAGAGAACAATATAATGTATTTGTAAGACCCTATTGCAAACACTCATACACAGGTAGAGAGAAAGAGAACAATTATATTCAACATGCAACAAATATTCTTCCCACGGTAGGGGAGGAAACGGACTCCAGCAGAAGAATAATAGCAAGAAAACTACCTGAGCAACAAACCCCCGTTTTCACTACCTTGAAGTACACACACACTTGATGACCTAGTATATTCATCTCTTTTTCAATATTTCTACAGTGTAGCCGAGACTAAAGTAACATGCAGCACTACGAAAATAATTTTAAATTACAATTTTGGCCTTGTTATGTAAATAGCCTGCAATAATATTATTCAACTTTTGCTTTCTCTGGCTCAATTTGAAGTGATACAAAGCAGAAAATATGAAATCAAGTACCCAAACCTACAATAGTTTGTGCAAATTGACAACTTCTTTTAATTGTGCTGAATACAAGCTTGGCAGGAGCACTTTCTTCACTTCCTCCTCTCCATGCCAATCTTCCTCAATCCTCAGACTGCCCTTCCCAAAACTCCCACTCAAACTCCCACAATAACAAACCAAGTCTGATTCACTATGACCTTAGTTGGCTACTTGAATCATTTCTTGTCAGTCCCTCTGCTCAATCACTACATCTATTGGAAATCCCCATGCAAATAGATATTCGCAACCACATAACCATGTTAACTTTGGTATACTTCTTCATCTTTTAACCTATTTTAGTAGATTCATGTCCCTCTTATGAATAGGAGCTTCTTTAGGTAACATGTTAAACCACCTAAGCCATTGTTCTTTTAATTTGCTCTCACTTCCACTTGTTTCTATTTTTTTTTTTTTCTTATAATGACATAATTAGAATCCTCATTTCCACTGCTTTTATCCTAGACATTTTCTCTGCACCCATCATACGTACCATAAAGCATAGCAAGTCCATTACCCATTATGTAGAGCTTGAGTATTAACTAAATATGTTTTTTATTAGAACTTGTTATTTCATGCAGCATGCTTTAATCCCATGAATTGCAGCCTCTTTTATGTATGTCTTCTTTTTAAACAATCAAACCTAAATTCATAAACAACCCATTGGGACAATATGATCCTCTATAATAACTCTGCCGTCCTTCTTGGAAGGAAGCAAAAATTATTGCCAAACACGGTTCAAATCTATTGTTTTCGAATTTTAAATAATTAGAAAAGCTAGGTTGATTTCTGTATCACAAAGTCAGTGAGTAAATAAGATAAAAATGATGACAAAAAAATGGTGATCAAATACCCTGTCCCATTTTTATTTTTTTTAAGAATGGAGAAATCACAGTCATATAGTTGGCCTATGACAGAAAAAATCTAGTAAGTATAAGGGAAAGGAATAAGAAGTCCTATAGATGTTTTGAATAATATGTAGCATGGAACATCATGACAAAGGTTGGAGGCATATAATTGTTATAGCATACTACTCAGCAGCTGTTTGCAACATGCCATCAGTGATAATACGAGCACCAGTGAGAAGAGCACCTAACCCAATCCTAAATGAGCAAGAGCATAATTTAGAGAAGTAGAAGTAAGATAATTAGAATATATCTAAAACAATCTGTAGGAATTATTACAGACCCGGGAAAGAGGTACATGTTATTTGCTTGATTCACATGGCCTATTTTTCCATTCCCTATCTAGATGTTATGGGATTGGTACTCATCATAAACATAAATAAGCATGGAAACGCAGTGATGGTTACAAATAACAAGCAGCAGCTTGGTTCTTCTATCCACCACAAAAAAAATGGGAAAGAAAATGAAGTTGATATTTCACAGTGGAAGAGAGGGCTTAATTGATTAACAACAATTATACGATGCCAATAAAGTAGCTATCTATAAAACAAAAATAGTACCAAGATTGAAATTTGCAAACAGGCTCCCACCTACAAAAATTTCTGTAAAAGAGAGGTAAGAATATGAAAAGGTGATTTGTAGGGCACAAGACGTTTATCTACCTTGACAAATAACAACTACTTGCAACCCAAAGGGGAAATAGTGGTTCAGATTTGTTTTCCTCCTAATAAGCGAAGTTGGTACACTATAAAACAATGAATATAATACAATGAAGTAACGCCCGCGAATTACAGCGTAATATTACAGCCTAATGTAGAAATGAAGGAAAATAAAATTGAAGTGGCAAAAGAAATGAATTCGGATTAGCTAAATTAACATTAATCCAATATGTTTAAATGGTTAATATATTTAACCAGCAAGTTTAGAGTAAAAATTTCCGCGATGTAAAAAATTCCAAAACCTCAATTCAATATACCCTAGGAAGCAAGAAATGAAAGAGAAACCGGAACATCCAGGTCTCAAGACAAGAGAGATTAACAGATATAAAATAATAAATACCTTGTGCGTAATCAACTGGGCGTCAGCTTTTGTTAACAGATGAAGGTGAAAGGCAGGCTTTGCACACACTACAGCCACAACCCATATTGGTATATATGGAGCTTCTTTGATGTACCACATTCCAGTGGCAACACCAGAAAGCAAACCAAATTTGAAAATATACAAATTGAATGTTGGAAAAAAAACTATCAACAAGTATGAAGAACAAATTTTCAATGTCGTCTAATCAAATTAAATTAGTTCTTCAAACGCTTGAAGAGAAAGACCGTAATTTGAACAATCAAATTGAATCATACTTCACTTTGCACAACACTAAGCATATTCTTTCTTCCCTCTTTAAGTTCATAAACTATGATTCCCAAAAGAAATTAGAAACCCAAATTTTAATTTTTAATTTCATTTTCTGAAAACTAACTAAATCTCAAATTCAGCATAAAAAAACTTAATCCTTTGAACGCATTATACCTTAGAAACACATTGTTAGTCTTTCAAGTGTATCCTATTTATTGGCCCTCTTTTTGTGAATGCACTCCAGTTTATTGAATTATAAACAATTAAATTAATCATCTCAATTCCCAAAATGATGCCTTGATTTCTAAATAAACTGCCACGGTTAAGAACAGAACAACAAAAATATTAATGTCTTAACAAATAAATCATTAACGAAGTACAATTCTCAATCTAGAAGCCTCTAGTTAAGGGACACTACTTAGACATTTATCCAAGAGAGCGCCATCATATTTAAGGAAATTGACCAGGATAATTCTGATTTTTTTTCTCTTTTCACATTTGCTGTGCAATTTCTTATATATTTATTATATTGCATGGAAAGTTTCTCCAGCTCCCATTTAGAAAATATATCGCTGGTACTTTGATCAATTTCTACTTGTATATTTCTTGTTACTTGATAATTTTTCAAGGTTTTTATTTATAAATAGATTTTTGCACAAACAACTTCATAAAGCATCAAAATAAAACAAATTGACCATGTGACACGGGCATTGATACACTGAAAGTGATATTAAGGAACTTTGCTCCTTAATCTTGAGTTATTGAAAAAATATATCCTGACTGGAAGAAATAGCAAGTAGATGATGGCCTTTAATAAAATGCTGGTCAGAACACCATTGAAAGATGATCAAAAGCATTCATTTAACTTTTCAGTTAATTACAACTGTCTTATGCTCTTTGACATTCATCAATAACTGATTTCCAGAGCTTTCAATTAACAATTTAGAGAAATTCAAATGTTGGCTCAAACTTGGGGATACACATGAGCATGGGAAGAAACCAAAAGGCAGATTGCACTACTTCTACGTATCTTCTATTAGTGTGGATTACACATAACGTGTTACAGCAGTTCTCAAATTCTTACCCCCATCAAAACAAATAATGTACAAAAACTGTACAAATCTGTTCTTGTTCCAATTGCTTATCAAATCCATCTACTCTCGCCTAATACTAAACTCCAGCTGAATTCACCACTATTAAGGAAAACTAAAACTTAGTAAAGAGAAAAAAAAATGACAATACAACACCAAAATTATTGAACCATTTCTTTGTTCCAATGGAAAAGTTCATATGACAGATCAATAAACAATCCATTCAACTATTCCCAATATTCCTGCTTCAAGATGAAATTTATCTATGCATTATTAGTGTAATTGGAAGTTGCAAACCCTGTGTTCCTAGAAATAGAGTTAAACACATAGATGCAGACATACTAAAAGTACATAATTCCAAAATTAAAATCACTTGTGTGCCCATCAATATTTTCCTAATTCATTGCTCAATGCCAGCTTGAAAGTCTAAATTTGAATCTCAAGCCGATCAATCAAACAATTGTAACCCTGACACTTTCACTTTAATAGCACACGAAAAGAAATTGGAAGTATAAAAAAAATGGCCGATCTTTAGGCAGAAGTTCACAGTAATTAAATCCATTAATGAATTTCACAATCAGAACAAAATTAAAGAGAAAGAAGTGAAAATTAAACCTTTATTGAGCTTAAGGACGAGTCTTTTTGCCGGCTGTGGAGGCGTGGCCTTCTTCCGCGACAAATTAGCAATAGTCCCAACTTCGTGGCTACCAACAGCTGCAGCCCCACGTTCTGACGAAAAGGATCCTTCCAGAACGTCATTAGGATCATCTTCAATCATGGGAAAGTGAGCAGGGGTGTCAGCAAAGTAAACATAAGGTTTAATACTTTGCTGGCCGTTTCTGTTGCTATCGAGTGAGCAAGCGGCAGACTGGAACTTGGCTTTCTTCATTGCTGGAAAAATTGTGGCTCCGCTACTTCCAGCCACGGCGTCCCTGGTGGCGATGGCAACTGTGGAGGTGGAGAAGCAAGGAGATGAGAGCTTACTGGGGTTTCTAGAGCTCGGGGAAGATTTGATTTAGCCATGGAACATATCTCTGTGCACCACGGAACATATGTTCGTAGCGCATGGAGATGCCACGGAGCATATGTTCGTGCACCACGGGGTTTGACTATATTTATTTCCCTTTTTTTATAGTTTTAAAATGAATTATTTTCTTTGTAATTAATAATCAGTAGGCACCTTATAACTATTTTTAAATAACATTATAAATTTAAAAATTTCATGTCTTTAAATTTAATATATCAAACATAGGAAAAATTATCTTATTTTCTATTCTGGTAGGATAATAGGAAAAATTATCTTCTTTTCTATGTAGGTAGGATAATAAATGTATGATTAAATTTTTATTCTAGTGAATTGAAACGAGAAATTAATTAATACAACACTAATTTCTGTATGTAGACGACAGATGACTTATTTAGGTGTAATTTTTTTTCTTAGTAAGAACATTACTCAACTTCTGTAGATGCAAGTTTGATAATAAAATATTGCAATTCATTTATTTTCGTTTATGCTATGTTGAATTTAATGAATTTTTAGCTTTATGGAAATTTTATTGTTCAATTAGTACAATTAAAATATGCATAAGAACAAAGTTATAGCATACTTTCACAATAAAGCTACACGTAATGAAAAAATACCGGAAGCATGAAGGGTAGCTGTAGCAGTCTCTTCTAATCTTATACTGTTGCTCTATAAAATAGAATTGGGAAAAAGTGAAGACGAACGAATGCAAGACATAATAAAAAAGAAGACGGGAAAAAAAACGAAAAGGAAAATAGTTTCCATAAGAAACGTAAACACAAAAAACGAGATGAATTAGGAAAGTTGAACAAAAATACAAACAAGCTTACCTTTAATATGTTACGTGAATCTGCAAATCTATCGAAGCGAAAGAGACGCACTCTCTTACTCAATTTTTAGCTGTATGCAGATTTTATTATTCAATTCGTACAAATAAAATATGTATAATAACAAAGTTATAGTATACTTTCACAGTAAAGATACACGTAATGGAAAAATACCGAAAGTATGAAAGATAGCTATAGCATTCTCTTTTAATCTTTTACTACTGCTCTATAAAATAAAAACAGGAAGAAGTCAAGAACAACGAAAGGAAGACATAATGTTAGAGGAAAAAAAAAAGAAATGGAAACAGTTTCCATAAGAAATGTACAGACGAAAAAGGAGATGGAATAGGAAAATTGAACAAAAATGCAAACAATGAATTCGGCGATCCTCTCTTCTATAGGAAGGTAGAAGATTGCGGAAATAGAAAAATAAACTGGTGCAGAATGTTAGCTTCAGGTTGTTTGGACGTCGATTCTATGGCGAAATATGTAAATCGTGTATACTTTCTTTATGGTTGTAGTGAGAACAGGGAAATAAAATGTTCCACTACAGATAATTTAAAGGTGGTAGAGGCGGTTAGTGAAGAGTTTTTCAGAGACATCCATATATGAGAAGGTGGAAAACTAGTATAGTACATCCAATTTGAAGGCGGTGGAGTTCGGTAGTCAACAATTCGGCCAACTAAATAGTAATTCACAACGTGTCAGTGTAATCATATTACTTACTCGTGAAGTAATACATCTTGCTTTAATCATGGTAGTGATGGAGTGGCGTGAACATTTTTGTACAAATGCCCACAAATAAGGGCAGTATGTGAAGTGGCAAATTATATCTCCCTTAGTAAAGTCAACAATTGAGACTGGGGTCATTTTTCTTTCAAGTCAACAAAACAATGCAGCTCACCACAATCCAAACCAATTTAACCCCCCTAAAGCAAACTCCAAACATGTCAAGTGTGAACACGAGGTACCAAGAATGAATAGTGATCCGATGGATCCTCTCTTTTATAGGAAGGTAGATAAATTTTGTAAAACTTAATTTTTATTTTTATTTTTTGAAAAATGTGTGGTTAAAAATTTTAATTTTTTTTTTAAAATTTACGTGTAAACTCTTTTTTTTTTTTTTGTGAAACTGTGAGATTAAATATGAACTTGAAAAAAAGAAAAAAAAAAAAATGGTGCACAAATATAGGCAAAATTTAAAGTTTGAACTTTAAACATTCTACTTAGTGCTTGTCTGGGAGTGATCAAAATTTGGATTAAAACTCATTTTTTGACCGTTGAGTGGTGCTACGGTAACAATTTCATAGAAATGGACGATTGTGGTGTGAGAAACGGTCAAAAAAGGGCTCAAAAATCAACTTCCTCCTTCTGAAAATCATTCCCAGACAGCCTCTTAATCTTTTTTCCCTTTTTCTTTTATATATTTAAACTTTGATTTCGAAAAGAGGTACTTACAAAAATACCCTTAAAATTAGGGGTGTTTTGAAAAATCATATGAAAGGTTTTTAGGAAGTAAAAAATACTGTGTAAAATAAAAAAGTGACACAATGTCACTTTTTTTTTATAAAAATTGTCACTTTTTT